GAGATAGTGAGAAATTAGGCTTACTGTTAGGTGCAGTGATAAGCTCAGTAACCAATTGTAAAGCTTGGGGGTCTTGTTCATAGCTTAACTCAATTTCCTTCATCCAAGTAGGGTCGCTGCAGTGATAGCATTAAGTGTATGGTATTCTTCTTGCCTTCTTGACAAGGCATCAGCCACCTTGTTCTCTGCACCTTTCTTGTATTGCACCTCATAATCCAACCCCATTAGTTTGGCCAACCCTTTTTGTTGGAGTGCAGTATTGACTCTTTGTTCAAGTAGATATTTAAGGCTTTGATGGTCAGTTCTTATGATGAAATGGCCTCCTTGCAAATAATGTCTCCATTTATCTACAGCTGATAAAACAGCCATATACTCCTTCTCATAGGTAGACAACCCCATGTGCCTAGGTGCCAATGCCTTGCTGAAAAAGGCTATAGGTCTCCCTTGCTGCATTAGTACTGCTCCCATTCCACTAGAACATGCATCAGTTTCTACCACAAAATGCTTATTAAAATCATCCAAGGCTAACACAGGAGCAGTAGTCATTGCTTCCTTAAGTGCTTGAAAAGCTGCTTCAGAATCAGCATCCCAATGAAACCCATTCTTCTTTAATAGGTTAGTTAATGGTCTGCTGATAACCCCATAGGACTTAATAAACCTTCTATAATAACCTGTCAATCCTAGAAAGCCCCTTAGAGCCAGAGTTTGGTGTTGGCCAATTGGCCATAGCTTCAATTTTTTAGGGATCAGTAGAGACCCCTTCTCCAGATATAATGTGCCCTAGGTATTCCACCTTAGGCTGACCAAAGGAACATTTGGACAGCTTAGCAAATAGCTGTTCTTTCCTCAGTATACTTAACACCTTCCTAAGGTGAAACACATGATCTCCCATTGATGCACGGTAGACTAAAATGTCATCAAAGAAGACTAGGACAAACTTCCTTAAGTGAGCTTGAAACACATGATTTATGAGGGACTGGAATGTAGCTGGTGCATTGGTTAGCCCAAAGGGCATAACTTAAACTCATAATGCCCTAAGTGTGTCCTAAATGCAGTTTTATATATGTCCTTGTCTCCCATTCTAATTTGATGATAGCCAGCCCTAAGATCTATCTTAGAATATATGCATGAACCATGTAATTCATCCATTAAGTCATCTACCAAGGGAATTGGAAACTTGTCTTTTACAGTCATGTGATTAAGGGCTCTATAATCAATACAAAATCTCCAACTACCATCCTTCTTTTTCACTAGTAAAACAGGTGAAGAAAATGGTGAATGACTGGGCTGAATAATTCCATTCTGAAGCATTTCATTTACTTGTTTTTCTATTTCATTCTTCTGAAAGAAATTGTACCTGTAGGGTCTGATGCTAACTAGATTTGTTTCTGCTTTCAGAGGGATGAAGTGGTCATTATTTCTCCTTGGTGGCAATGTCTTAGGCTCAGAGAAGACATCTGGAAACTCCTTCAGTACTTGTTGGATAGCTGCAGGTATATTTTCCTCTAACTGTGCTTCTGCTGCTGATATAGTGAACAAGTGAGCCCATATAGCTTGACCCTTTTTGAGTAATTGCTTAACCCCAGTAGCAGTCATACTCCTTAGTTCACCTTGGTGATAGATGCCCCTAAGTTCCACCCTTTTCCCCTTGTGTGTCACCTGGACCTTGTACTCTATGAAATCTAATAGGACAGGATTGTGTCCTTTCATCTAATCTCCCCCCAAGATCATGTCATTACCCCCAAGTCAGAGTAATCTCACTGAGCCCTCAAACTCTATTCCTTGTATTTTCCACTTGAATTTGGGACAAGTGTACAGATTGCACAAATGGTTCCCATTGGCTACTGTCACTCTCATAGGAACAGTTTCTTTGATAACACACCCCATTTTCTTTGCTGTCTCTAAGTCCAGGAAGCTATGAGTGCTCCCTGAATCAAGTAGGATTGTCATGGTGTTCCTCTTAGACTCCCTCTTAAGCCTAATGGTGTTTGGCACTTCAGTGCCTGAAAGAGCATTCAAGTTAATGGCTTCATCCATGGTTTCCCCTTCCTGTACTTCTAAGATCTCCTCCCCCATGTCTTCAAACCTAGGTTGAACCTCATCTTCAGAAGGTTCCATAGTCCCAGACATAGCATTTAGCTATTTATTTTTACACTGATGACCGGAATGATAATTCTCCCCACATTTATAACACAAACCTTGAGCCCTTCTAGTTTCAAATAGTTTGTTACCCTGACTTGAGAATCCTGCACTTCTATGGTTATTAGTTGAACTTGGTCCACTGGTATTGGTGGGCATCAGACTCCTTCCCCCTATCATTTGCCCTTTCTTAGCCCAAGAATCTATGACCTATTCCTGATGTCTAGCCTTTTCTACTGCTTGACTTAGAGTAAAGGGATTGAGCATTTTGATTGTATGCCTTATTTCCTCCTTCAGGCCTTCTACAAAAAATTCTAGAAAGAAATCTTCAGGAATTGTGGGACTCCTAATCAACACCCAAGCCTTCAAATCTTCAAACCTCTCTAAGTAATCATTAACACTACCCTTCTGCTCAATTTTCTTAAATTCTCCTATGAGATTAAATTTACTATTTTCAGCATCTTGGAATCTTTTGCACAACTCCTCACAAAACTCTCGCCAGCTAACATTTCCTCTACTTACTTGATAGGAAAAATACCAAGCTTCAGCCCTACCTTGAAGATGAAGGACTGCTTCTTCTAGTTTCTGCCCTTGCTCAGTGATGTGATTGTAGTGGAAGTATCGCTCACACCTCCTCAACCATGAACATGGATCTGCTGATCCTGCTCCATCGAAATATGGGAACTCCACTCTCGAGTTGGAGCTGTGATGATAGTTTCTCTCACCAATGTCAGGAGTGAATGGCTCTCCCTTGTGTTCACTCTTATGCTTGCCTTCAGAGGCTTCGAGAAAATGACTCCCAGAAGGAGCACTTCCCAGAATACCTGCTTGATTCGGAATTAACTTCTCCACTAACACATCAAGCTTCCTTGCCAATTCATCTATTTTGGCATCTGTGGCTTCAGATTTCATCTCTGTCTTCTCCATGTAACTTTGTAGCTGGGTTTCCAGTTTTTTAACATTTTCCTCCATAGATTTGGATCTAGTTTCAGCGATCGTCATTTTTTGTAATAATGGGGCCAGGAATTGCTCTGATACCAATTTGTACAACCTAGGGAGAACCACACCCCAAAAGCTAGCTATTAAGGTGGGGGAGGGAGAACCACACCCCAAAAGCTAACTATTAAGGTGGGGGAGCCCAAGGCTATATAAACCCCACATCAACACTTTGTAGTACCGATGTGGGACTCAAGTCCCATTCCTTGCAACAGTTCATAACAAACCACCACGCTCCGCGCCCGTCGTCCTCGACGGCTGTGCGGTAGACATTTCTAGCCCCGGGCGAACACTGCAATACCGGCGTCACCATCCAAGGCACGGTGGGCACAGAAGGTGGTGGATGGCTCTGATACCAATTTGTAATGTACTTAATTGAAAAGTAGAACAAAAATAAAAATGGGCAACAATGGAGCTTTATTGATTGCTAAATGAATACAGTAATAGTTCTCAATTACAACATTAGTAACTCTCAAGGATTACAAGAATAATATGGCTCCATTGAAGATCTTCACTTGAACCTGTAATAGAGATTCACGAATTAGAAGAGAATTAGACTGTAGAAGAAGAGAGGAAGCAGAGAAAGAAAGTAGAGAGAGAAAGAGAGGAAAATAGAAGATTACCGGTCAAAAACTAACTTCCAATTCCAGCCCAATCTGTTATAACAGATTGAGGCCCAATCTGTTACACAAGGACTGATCTGGACCCTTTATTAATATCCTCTAACTTGTAATGATAGCCGTCCGATCCCCTTAACACGTGCCTGTCTAATGTGCACGTGCTTTATTTACCCTAGCTCCTTACTTTCCTAAATCATTTCTTCATCTTCTTCGACTCAAACCTCAACCTTCTCGAACATTACAATAATCAATCCAACGCTTCAATCCTGGATTGCCTGCAATTCTTCCTTAAATATTTCTTGTTTTTCGACCTTACGGAGACAGAATGGACATTTAGAATCTTTATTACTACTCCCTTCGGTCCACAGTAAGTGACCAGTTTATTTTTTTATTTTGGTCCAAAACAAGTGTCCATTTATATAATCAAGAAAAAATCAAGTTGTTTTTCCAAAATTACCCTTATGTATGTATTCCTAAAAAGTCTTTTACTCCCTCCTGTCCAAAATAAGTGATTTTTTAGTTGTTTTCACATAGATTAAGAAATCCACCTTTTAACATTAATTAACAACGAAATTGACCATATTAACCTTTACTATCTCTTCGGATAAACACTCCTAACACATACTCCAACACTATTTACTCCAAGGGCAATGTAGGAAAAAAATAATTAATTCATTCTTGAAATCTGAAAAAATAACTTATTTTGGACCACAAAAAAAGACCAAAAAATCACTTATTTTGGACCGGAGGGAGTATTGCTCATATTAAATTATGTTGCAATATTTAATTAAGGGTAGTTTAGTCACAACTAATTATTTTTGTCTAGAATTTAGTATTTCCTTAATAGGTGTGCCCAAAGCAAATTGGTCCCTTATTGTGGATCGGGAGAGTAATGTTTAATTGAACGCCAGAAAAGATTGATGTTCCTTCTGGGGGTTAGCAAATTAAGGATCACCAGAACATCAGCGAGTTTTTCTTACAGAGAATACTTCCAGATTCTCCGTAATAAGGGTGGAATTTTTAATAATTGATGCATTCTTGGTTTTTTAAAGTGACAAATATTTTGGACCCTTTTTTTTCCTTGTGTGTGTGGCTAAAGTGACAATAAAAAGGACAAGAGGGCAATATTTATTCTCTTTTCATATATAACTTCTACTTCCACCTTTAGTCCCTCTTTATTTCATCTCAGCAGCTATCTATTGGTAGATATAACCTCGCTACGTTTTGAGGGCAAACAACATAAGATGTCATAACAATAATCTAAATTCTCAAATTAATCTACAAGTTAAATGTCATAACAAACTCATCGCGTAGCTGAAGGAAAGAGAACCAAAAAATTGAAAGATAAGGTCTCCAAAGACACAACATTAACCGTCTCTAAGAATGTAACTCTATTACTCTAGTAACATGAATTCTTGGCAGTTCAGCCACCATGAAATAACGTTGACACAAAATGTAAGACCTGGGAGACAGCTAACATGTTATGGCTGATACACGGAACCTGGTCCGTTGCTTCTTCTATTCAGATAATGTTGACTTCAGTTCACCGCTGCTTTGCAGTTCCAGCACGATATCACATCCTCCTACCAGTTCGCCTTTGTAATACAGCTGTGGATAAGTTGGCCAGTTGGAGAAGGTCTTTAATCCCTGCCTCACTTCTTCGTCGGATAGAATGTCAAAGGATCCAAACTCGACCCCTTCCTCCTTCAAAGCATTTACAACCTTGGAGCTGAAACCACATCTTGGAGCATCTGGTGTACCCTTCATAAAGAGCATTACAGGTGAAGAATTTACTATACTCTTTAAACGGTCTTCAAGACTGACTTTCTCGTGAATCCCGTTCTCAGCAAGAACCTTCTTAAGCTCGCCACTTTTTTGCATCTCCAGTACTATGTCCGATCCACCAATAAGTTCACCCTTTATGTACAGCTGCGGATAGCTAGACCAGTTGGAATAAACTTTCAGTCCTTGACGGACTTCATCATCAGTAAGAATGTCAAAACTCTCAAACTCTACTTTCTCCTGTTTAAGAATATCCACCACCTTTCTGCTGAATCCACACCGGGGTTCATCATGTGTTCCTTTCATAAACAGCATAACCGGGTTAGAATTTATCAGACCCGCAAGACGAGTAGTCAGGGCAGCACTCAAGCCAGATGGTTCAGAGATGCCACCTTTTTCACCAGCAGTATCTACCCCGTAATCCTTGAAAACTTCCTTAAGTTCACCAGCCTCATGCATAGTTATAATAATATCACAACCACCAACAAGTTCACCCTTGCAGTACAGTTGAGGATATGTTGGCCAATTGGAAAATTTCTTCAACCCCTCCCGGACCCCATTGTCCGTCAGAATATCAAAACTTCCAAATTTGACATTCTCTTTCTTCAAAATATCGACAACTTTCTGACTAAAACCACACTTGGGTTCTTCAGGGTTTCCTTTCATGAAAAGCATTACTGGATGAGAAGCAACCAGCTGCTGAAGTCGCGTTGTCAGCCGATCATCAAGACCAGAACTTACAACTTGAGGAGCGCCACTTTCTTTAGCCAATTCCTGAACTGTTTCAAGAACAGTGGGACCTGCAGCCATCCCTAGGCTAGCAGGAGCTGCAGGATCCCCAGGAGTGATTGATCCAGCAATTTTTGCAACCTTGTTGGCCAAACTAGAAGGATCAGCCCCTTCCAACGTATCAACAGCCTTACCATCCTAAAATAAGCAAAGGAATAGCACGATTATAGGTAGTGTAACAAGCATAAAGAGAGGTTCATATCAAGGAACTGTCCAAATGTCACAAAGAATCAAAGTTGAAAGTGTTGAGCAATACAACTAACAGGAAGGAACTTAACAAAATTTCTTATCAAACTTGCCCAACAATTGATCACCTTTCCTTAATTTTTAAATATTTAATATTGGATTTGTGTGACGACGCCTCTAGGCAGTTCTTTTCAAGAACACCCATTATATTTGTCAGGCGGAAACTAGTGAATTTAATATTTCTTGATCTTGCTGACAGATGTTTATCTTTTCACAATAAGTAGCTACGAATATTTTTATCCCATTTTTAAAGAGGTAAATAACTCAAATTTTTGAAATGCCATATTGATGATTTCACCATGGCATAAGCCTAGATACTTTGAGATTCACCTAAAGATAACGGCAAAAAGGCAAAGACAGTGGAATCCTCCTAAGTAAGATAAGTGACCAGAAAAAAAGACATCACCCCGTCAACCCAATTACATTCATGGATAATCAGAAAGCTTTTCAAATCAGGCTGACAGAAGACAGTAATATCTGCAAATGCACATCACTGGCATGTCATACAAGAGGGAAATGAGGAAGTGAGAGATCGATCTGGGGCTTGTACATCCGACTGCACTAGTAGAGTTTACTGAAGAATTAACAATTTAGCAAATTTTCCAGAAGAAAGTATATGAAGTTAAATGAGAAAGATACCCTTAAATAAACCTTATACATTTGCAAAGAGATGTCCCATATTCCAATTGTCCTTAGCTAAATATGCCTCCAAATAGTAGCAATACCGCATGTAGTCGGCAAATAGAAGAGGCAGATGGATCTCATCGGGTCATACAAGCCTTAAGGTGCATATGGTTTTCAAGAAGATTACAAGCACAAAGAACAACATGGCGTTGGCAGAATATGACGAGCTGTTTACTATTTTACGGGGCATTCTCCCGTTACAGAATTGACACTGCAATGGGTTATTAATATATCATAAATCTTTGGGCAGAGAGAGCGCACTCATTGTCTTTAAAGAAATAATTAAGCCATGAGAGACAGAGTTCCATATATAAGTAATATCTAGGGGAAAAACTCCGAACATTTGTTAATAAAATCTCTAAGTGTTTAGATTGTTGATTACTTGAGAGGGTCTTCTCAATTTACTTGTTATTTATTTTAAGACAAACATTTTCTATGTAAAAGGTCTCCTATCAACAGATATACTGTGATTAGAGAATAAAATTGTGGAAATTATGTGGTAGATGGAGTGTAAAAAAAGGTCGAAACACAAATCCTCATCTGATAATTTACTTGTTGACAAAAAGCAGATAAGTTTCACCGAGTTAATTGCATAAAAGAACAAGATAACTAAGCAAACATGTAGCAGTAATAGCATCATGATTCTCAAAGTCATGTCCAATAGCAGATGTTCTTTCGGACCTTGTGCTGCTGATCGTCCAAAAAAGTAACATTATAGAAGGGCTCATAGGGAGTCAGAAGGAAGCTAGGTAAACATAAAATGCAGGTAGAACTCACATAAGCAGAGGGTTACAGCAGGAGAGTAAGGTTTACAAATACAAGCAGATATACAAACAGTACATGGACAAAGAAAGCGAATTCCCATGTGAGTTACCTTGAAGAACACAAAGAAAGGAACAGCAGAAACAGAGTACAGCTCAGATATCTCAGGCTGTTCTTCAGCTTCAACCTGAATTACAAAGACAGAAGCGAAAGAATCACAATCAGAGATGAGCTGACACTTCAGAACGAATAATGATCCTATTCCAGTAGTACTGGAACATAATCCATTAAGTAGTTGGGGCGAAAAGTCCAGCTCCAAGTTCACTATGCTAGAATAAAACAGCTATTTCAGTATATGCAGGGTTCTCCAATTTCTATTTGAAAAGAATTTGAAGCACCAAATCAAGGTAAGACTGCAGCAAACCAAGAGAGCAATAACCCCCAAATTTCCCCGTATCACAGATTCATCATATTCATGTAACTATCTAACTACAAGAACACATCTTTTTCTCTGTTCCCATTAATGGAGACAAATTCTTACGAAAGAGCATATCGATAACCCCATCAGGGTGTTTCACAGTTTCTTCAAAGTTCCATAAGCTATCTTGAAATATATTCAACAAAAATAACAGAAATCAACCAATAAATAAAAAAGATTCAAACTTGGTCCATGTGCTTAACAGTTTCACATCATGAGGCCCAAAAATTGTACAAAACCCTAAACCCTTCATAGCATAGTTACCAGAAACAAATCTAAACAACCCCCTCCAAACAACAAGAACATATCAAGCAGAAAATCTATCAATAACTCATCACTTTATTTCATAGTTCATTAAAATTCCATATAAGCAGTATCATATATCCAAAATTACTACCAGAAATCGATCAATAAATTAAAAAAGATATAAACTTTACGGGCTTCTCTTTCACATAAGCACATGTATATAAAAAAAGGGAGAAGATTTGATTACTCTGAGAAAATGGGCATGTGGGAAATCAGTAGAAAGGTGAGAAAAGACTTGGTCCATGTGCTTAGAAGCTTCACACCATGTTGCCCAAAAGTGCAAAATCGCCGGTGACCCGTCGCCGACTATCTTGTCGAGCTCTCCCTTTGATCCAACTTCCTTCACTGATCCTCCTCCTCCGGCCATCCTCGCTTCTTTCAATGTTCTCTCTGTGGGAACTGAATACCGCAAACCAAAAAACAGAACTCTTTTTCCTCTTTTCTGCCCTTTTATAATAGGCTTGTTTTTTTTTTCTTTTTTCCTTTTCTATGATATCCTCTTTTCTTAAAAATAAATAAATTAGACAACCTACTTTTGAAGACATTCTTATTAAAAGGGTCACTTATTTTGTCAGCAGAATTCAGAAATAAAAACTAATTTATGTGATTTTTAATAGTTAATACTTGATAAGTTTGTTGATTTTAAATTTTTTTGTTGACTTAACTATCCCTAACTCACATTTCCGCATGTAAATTCACCTTAAAGGTAAAATAAGATTTGCATAATGAAAAAGAGAGGCATTTATTAAGTTTTATATACATAGTCAATTCCAATTATAGTTTATTTCTTTCCATATATTTGTGTCACATTGTCAGAATATGTAATCAAATCTTTAATGTGTTTAAATAACATTTTACTTGTATATTAATCAAATCCCACCGCTAAAAAATATAGAGGCAAAAATTCTAATAAAATAATTTTTTGTAGAACAGGTTTAAAGTTTCTAAATATGTCAAATTAAAAATGATATTCCTATATGGTCTCTTGCATCCAAAGCAATTTTTACTAGCAAAAGTTGTTATAACCTTATCGAACCAATTGTTAAAAATTAATTGGACTATGATTGGATTTGGTCTTTATCCTGCCCAAATAAAATAAAGTTTTTTTAGGAATTTTTACCTCCTATAGCAAAGGTTAACACCTTATTTATTTTAAATAAATACCATTTAAAAAAATTATATTATATAGATACCTTTTAATGTTTATAGCAAAATATCTAATTTTGGTTACCTCATAACCCTAAGCCACTAAATACGCTATTCAGTTACACTATTTTCTCTCTCTCTCTCTACTTTCATACATGCCGCTGTGGGAGAGACGAATTTAAACCCTAACCCAGCCACTACATACGCTACGAGAGTGCTCACAAACAAACTTGCTCAAAATCCATCAAAAACAATTCTTAAACCTATTGAAATAGTTCATGGAGAACCTACTGCTGTGTTTACTATGGAGGAACTTGGAAAGTTCACTGTTGAAGAAGGCCTACATCAGGCTCTAGTATTAAAATTTTCGTTTGAGAGATTGGAGATGAATGAACTTCGAAAGTTCTTGCCAAAACTGCTTGGAACTCAAGGTCGTAGCTTGATTGGGTGGTTAGCGAGAAGGCACATCCTCATCAGGTTTGATTTATATGAAGATTATGTTGTTGCTGCTTCAAAAGTTGTTAATCATCTGCTCGTTAATGGTGATTAACAGCTCCTTATTCTGCCACCATTGCTCGACGGCGGATTCGCCGGAAATTAGGGTTTGTTCTTGAACAAAGACGACGGAGTTTGGGGCTGAGCAACTTGATTTTCTGTTGATATATTTCAATGTATTTTCAACGTATCACGCTGTATTTTCATGTATTTCATTGTCTTTTTTTCATTGTAATTCAATGTGTCTCGCTGTATTCCATGTATTTTATTGTATTCACTGTCTTTTTTTTCATTGTATTTCAATGTATCCCGTTGTATTCTATGTATTTTATTGTATTCACTGTCTCGCTATATACCATGAATGTATTCATATATTTTTTCAGTTAATATAATTTATGTATCCAGATGTATTATATAATTTCTCTGAAGATTGCTATATTTTTGGGTATTTTTCGGTTGAGAATCTTTTTTACAACCGGAAATACAAATTTTGTGTGTTATAATTGAGTTTGTTGAGTTATATTAGGAGTCTATTATGTTAATTGATACACTTTCCGTTTAAAAACAGTGTAATCCCCTATTTCACGCCGTGAATACAGTCGAATACAATAATCTGTCCAGCTGTAATCCCATGTTTCACGCCATGAATACAGTCGAATACACTCGAATACAACAACTGATTAGCTGGACTTCCCTGATTCGCTATTGTATTTATGAATACAGTAGCTTAAATACATCTAATACATCTTCTAACAACAGAAAACGTATCTACAATATGTAATATAGCAAATGATATCTATAGATAGCTAATTACCATTAAAAGATAGTGATTTATAAAAATTTCTCTTTTTTTTATGGCAATGTCTCCATAACAGGCTACCCTGTAGGAAATACCTAGCCCGGATTGGATTCAATATTGACCCTCTATGCCCTAATGTGATATGAAAGAAAAAGAATCCATCATTCATATTTTTCTCACCTGTAAAGTGAACAAAATATTTTGGGACAATTTGGGTGGGGTAACCTTTTATGATCCCGCTAGGGGCCACCGGCTTGCTCAATTAAAAAATCAAATTTGTTCTATAAGACACAACCTACTCGAATGGAATTATTTCCTCGCTTTCGCCCTATGGAAAATTTGGATTAACAGAAATGCTAATAATTAAAACAACTTGAGGCACGCTATTAACATAAGCAATATTATTCAAAAAGTTGACGAAAAATAACACACTGCCAATTGAAAGGATTCAATTACAAATCAAGTGGGAAAAGCCCCCAAAAGGATGGTACAAATTAAATGTTGATGCATGGTCACTGGATTGTTGGATTCACAAAGTTCATACAAGCTAGGGGCTCTTTGGAGGCAGAACTAAAATAAAGGAAGGAATTAAAACTGCCCATGAGTGGGATTTATTCCCATTGGAAATAGAGACAGATTGTGTGGAGGCAATACAAAATATACAATGTGGTAATAGACTTTTTAAAAATATTGTCAATATTTGCAGGTCGTTAATGCACCAAGGGAAGGTGACCCTCCTCCAGCACACATTTAGGGAAAGCAACACTGTCGCTCACACCATGGCCAAGTTGGGAAGGACTCCAGGAAGGAAGAAATTTTTTTTTTGTATCCCCTCCCAATGTTATTTTTAATTCTGTTAAGTACGACAAAGACATTCAACGTTGTTTTGTTAAATACCTATCTATGGATGCTTGCAATAGATTAGCAAGCTTAGTAAATCAATGTGTCCTGAGCGGCTCACAATTAGGCTATGATGTAACAAACATTACGTAATTTTAATATATATGTTTCCTGTTTGCTAAACAAAAATAGCTATACAACGATATAACTTTCACTGTATTAATTGATTATACAATAAGTGCATTACTGATCACGCCCAACTATGTCTTATAAAAAGGACTCTGCGGATGTTGCAAATATAACCCGAGTATTACGCCCAGGGTCGAATCCACAGAGAGTTAACCTATCAACCACTATCTTCAGACCCACTAATTCTTCAGAACCAGCTTCCCAAATATTCAAATCTCAGTTGAATGTTCTTTAACAACTACGCTTGCAAGTAACTAAATAGCTGTAAACTAAACTAATAAGGTTGTAAACAATTATGATAAAAAGCTAAGGCAATGATTTCCCCTATTGATGGAATCCCTTCTGTTTATGCTCATACAAATTTACCAACACATCTCTATCAATCATGAACGCTAATCTTACCGTAAATCTCTCCCGAGTAATCACAGTAATTTACTATTGCACTCTCCCGAGATACACTAGCTTACTTTATTTAGCACGATTCACTTTAGATTACACCCAAGGCTTCGTTATCCCTAATCCTGCCTTTAAACCCGCAATTATAGATTCCTCTAATAATCTAGGAGTGGTGTTGTTCAACAATACCCTAAATATGCCCTCTTTTCCAAGTTATGCACACTAAATAGGCACAGCTAATTGAGGACCCTGTCAATTAACTACAACAAACACGAAGTTGAACAAATAAAGATTAAACTAGCAATTTGTATTCACATAAACGAGAAGTTCATCACCCAATAGGTTCCATCAAAACCTTAGACAAGGAATTTAGCTACTCATGGCTATGGGAAAATAAACTAAGATAGAATTCATCATAAAAATCAAAAGTAAAGAAGAAAGATGTTTGGAGCATTCTCTCACAATGGTTTTCCTTGCTAAGAAACCCTAAAAATCAATAATAATAATCTTGGGCGAAGTCTAATGTTTTAAATAGGGTTTAGGTCTAAAAATCCCGTATTTGACACTTTGACCCCTGAACTTTTCTGCGCCTGCCGCGATTCTGCCGCGGTCGCGGTAGAACCGCGGCCAATCACCCTCTCTGAATCTCTAAAGTTCTGAAGCTGCCTTCCACCGCGGTTCTGCCGCGGTCGCGGTAGAACCGTGGCCAAACCATTTTTTGAATCCCTAAGGGTTGGCAGGGTGTAGCTTCATTGGGAATTTACACATTTGGCCTCTTTTCTCCAATTTTTGACTCTAAAATCGCTCCTTAGCCTTCCTTATACATATATCACCTGCAAATCATAGCCAGGAGTCAACGGTCTCTCAACTGAGCAACGCAAAAGGTTGACCATCGCAGTTGAATTGGTAGCAAACCCCTCTATCATTTTCATGGATGAACCAACTTCAGGGCTGGACGCAAGAGCTGCTGCGATTGTTATGAGAACGGTTTAGGAACACTGTCGATACTGGAAGAACCGTTGTTTGTACTATTCATCAGCCTAGCATCGACATTTTTGAAGCCTTTGATGAGGTGAATTTCTTATCTTTTAAGCACAATCCAGCTAGTCTTTATATTTAATCTTTTTATACAACGTAGTACTAAACTCTTAANTAAATTGAAGCGTCAAGGATGCTGTATACTCATGTGCTAGAAAATATTAGATTCGTTACTATAAGCTTCTAACCAATTTCGCAACCAAAACAGGAGAACCTGGAAAACGTAATACTGTATTTCTAAAACACAAAACTAGAAGGTACAAAAACAATCATAAAGGCCAAATTTTACAGTAAGTAGCTACAGTTATTTATATGGGACAAGATTAAAAAAATAGATCATGATATTTTACGTAGGTACATGGGTGACGATTGATTTGAATACGTTAAACCATTTCAACCATGACCAATTATACTTCTGTATGAGATACAGAAATACTCACATGCTTTCTGATTGAAACTTTGTGTTGACCAGAACCGCACATTAAGTGATTTTCTAACAACAAGTTTCTACATAATTTGATTTTCTTTTGTAT